GGCAACAGGTTTAGTTTTGTTATGTGTCAGGCACTGCTGACTACCAGGGATAAAAATTTCCTAAGGGAGCTTACAATATAGTGTGGTATACAGACAAATAATCAACTATAATATAGTCTAATAAGGGCTTTATCAAAGAAAATACAGAATGTAATACGAAGTGACATTTAAACTGAGACCCAAATGATGGGAGGAGGAGTACAGAGGTGGTGGAGAACCTGGCACTTTCAGGGAATAGAGGGCATTCAGTTTGGATAAACACAGAATGCAAGGGAGGAAATGACCAGTGATAGCCAGAGCAGTCTGTTTCTAGTAAACAACAGAATAGATACCCTGAAAATCCTTCTATCTTCAGAACATCTAAAATGGTGGATAAAATATTTAAAATGTTTTGAATGCATCCCGGAGCTGGCAAGAAATTCTCAGAGGCTAAAAATGTAACAGAATTGTTAATCTGGAGATGCAAACCTGGTAACCTAGATCTTAGTATTAATGGTCACTTGGGTACTGGAAACAAAGCCTAGGGCTTATTTGGACTGGGGAGTTGGATGGAAAACTCCCATATGAAGCCATAGTCCCAAAGGACTGTCCCCTGAGTGAAAGAATGAACTAAAAATTATGTGGAGACACAGCCAGAAACTTGCCTGTTTTGACATTAACTCTAGAAGGATTGGTAAAATGTTATCTCTGAGAGTTTATATTCTCAGTGGCCCCCACACCACCTAAGTAGTCCCAACAATATCAACCCAACAGTTTATTTTAAAGTGACCCAGGAATGGCAGTGAAAATTCTCTCTGAAAGAACATGTTATCTATCTAAGCCTCAAAGAATAACCTGATGAAAAGTTTCATGACCAAGAGCTCAAAATAAAAACAAAATTCACAAAAGGAAACAATGCACAATAATTGCAAGCTGGAAGAAACCTCAAATAGAAGAAACAGGCAACATAGACCTTGGAAATTAGAATTATCTAATATAAATTGTAAAATAAATGTGTTATATACAATTAAAGAAAGAAAATATCATATTGGAAGTCTGAATTAGGAAAACAAGATCATAGAAATGAGAGAAAGTTTGAAAAATAGCCAAATAGAACTGTTAGAAGTAAGAAATACAATAAATGAGATTTAAAAAGGTCAATGGATAGGTTAAACAGAAGATTAGACACATCTGAAAAGAAAATTAGTGCATTTGATGGTAAAGGTAAGGAATTTAAACAAAAGGCAGTACAGAAATGTAAAGAGATTACAAAAAATATGGAGGAGAGTTTGCAAGATATGGAAGATTGAGTGATAAAGTACAACATACATATAATCAGAGTATCTGATTAGAGAGTTAAAACAATATTCTAAGAGAGAAAACCACAGAATGAGAGTTAGGGTTAATCCTGAAATCCTTTTTAAGTCATTTTAGAGAATCTGAACTTTATTATAAGGGGATGGGAGGTTGTGAAATATTTTAATCAGAGGGGATCACAAGCAGATTTCCATTTATAAACGTCACTTTGGCTGCATTTTGAGGAATGGATTAGAGTTGAAGGGAGGCAGACTTTAGGTAAGGAAACCAGTCAGGGACTATGGCAGTCATGTAGAGACAGCTTTTAGAGATATTTAGAAGGCACATTTGCATAATTTGGTAACCGGTTTGAAACGAGGGATGAAAGATTTTAATACCAACTTTACCTCCTCTGTTAAATATCACTTTTGCTATCTAAGCACAGTTTACTACATCCTCTGAGTTCTTTCTATATATCTCTTTTTGTATTTATTTCACTGCATTAAAATTTTTATGTCTACATCTTCCACCAGAGCATGAACTCCTTAAAGGCAAATATTTGTCTTATTAATTTTTGAGTGCTTGTCTTTTTCATCTTATTCAGTACAGAGCACAGAATCTGGCAGGGATTCAACAAGACTTGCCTTAACAATGTCTGTGTTAACACTGATATTCTTGCACTAAAATGGATAAATTAAGTGAATAGGCAGAGACCAGACCACAGAGGGCCTTATGTGACACACAAAAGAGTTGGGACTTTTTTCTATGATCAGTAGGGGCCCTAAAAGCAGAGGAGAACCATGGTTAATTTGTGTTGTCTGAAATAGCTTGGACAACAATTTGAATGGGGGAAAGGTCAGGTAGGAGTTAATTACAAAGCAATGAGAGATGATGAGGAACTGAATTAAGAAAGTAATGAGAATAAGGAAGATGGGACATAGCCACAAATTACTGAGGAGGTATGATGTCAGGACTTGGCTGATGATTTGGATGTTGAAGATAAGGGAGAAAGATGAATTGGGAAAGAAACTTATTTCCACCTTGGGATATGGTGGTACTTTGCAACCAGATGATAAATTTAGAAAAGGGAGCCACCTCAGTGATTAAGTTGGTGTCTAGGGAGTTTGCAGATATGAAGCACTGCAAATCTTGAAAATCATTATAGAACTTTCTCAACTACCACCCACTTGCAAAGGATTGCTGACTCCATAGAAATACCAAGGAGGCAGAGTCAAGCAATATAAATGATCTCAACCTGACTGCTTTAGAGATACCTGGCCGTGAACAGAAAGCCTCCGTTTCTGTGTCTTGATTCTCTGATTTCCAGATATTTCCCTGGCCATTCTTTCAGTATGCTGGAGTCTTAAACATTCCCACCGGAGGCATCAAGATCCCCAATACTTACTTCTACTTCCTGGCAGAAGGTAGCATTGGGACCATACTGTAGTTGGCATTGGTGGTGAACATCATAGATCACTCCTGGGGCAATGACCTTGGACTTCAAGCCTTTCTTTTTGGGGATGTCATCAAGGCAGAAACCCCAACCTCGACTGAAAACAAGTTAACAGAAATAAGAGCAGTTGCTTACAATTCTCTTCATCTTTAGCCTTTCCAACAGAAACTTCTATCCCTCTAATTTACCCTTTTCCTTCAAGACAATTTCAAGAAGGCAGAGACGCTTCCTGGCCCAAGAGGGAAGTTATCTAGAAGG